AAGTGAAAAAAGAGGGGAGAGGAGATGGATCCGGATTCAGTGAAATCAACTCTCTCTAATTTAGCATTTGGAAATGTAATGGCTGCTGCTGCTCGTGATTACCAGAAGGTATTTTTACTTTTTCTTTCCCTCTGATTTGAATCTCTCTTATTTTATTAATTTGGATAGTTAAATGGACCTGATTAGAGTAAAGTTTGGATTTTTATGTGCAGAAAATAAAAGTAAAGTTTGGATATTTGCGTCCAAATAGAGCGGAATTGTTACTAAGGATTTATATAGCAAATTTCTACTAGTTTGGGATTGAGGCATAGTTTTATTGTAGTAAAGTTTGGATTTTTATGTATTCATGTGAGACAGGTGTAATTGTATGTATATGTATATTGATAGTTTGATACTATGAATTCTTAAAATTTTATACCAAGAATTCTATCCAGATGTTTGTGATGGAGCATTAAATTGTTTTACTTACCAAAGAGTCAACTCTGCATGCACCATTTCTCCTTGAGACTCAGATAATTGCTTTTCAGCAAATTAATAAAAGAGGGTGCATTTGTCATGAAAGAAAATATTTTCAAAGTCAGTAGAATTTACATCCTTTTTCCTACAACTAGTAAGGATTGGTATGAAACTCTTCATAATTATGGCATGCTAATGTGAAGTATACTTTTCTGGTGCCTCAAGCTTATCTAATGGAGTAATTGTATTAAAATGACACTAAGAAAGCGCAACAACAGTATTTACATCAGTATCCAAGCAACTAAGAGCTACAGACTGTGTCTCTATTGTGTGGCTAGATTAATGCTGCCTCCGGTCTCAGGATAAAGACGTCCTTCTATGGGAAATACTGAGAATTATTTACTATGTTTATCTGTTTATTTCAATATCCATACTCCAATTACTAACCATTTAAGACCGCTATTTTGTTAATAAGCTAAGATGAAGTCACTTAGATATAATGAGTTAAGTCAACATTTTGCGGGAGTTAGACCTTAATCTTACTTGCTATTCCTTTGAGATAACCTAATGTTTGATATTGATAGTTAAATCATTGTAATATACCTCAAAACATCCAGCAGTTTTAGTTAGTTTAACTACTGACCATTGTATGCAACTTCACCCTTTAGGAAGTGCTGGCTCAAGAGAAGGCGCAAGCATCATCTTCTGTTAATCAAGACATAGATCTTGATGAACTGATGGATGTAAGTTTGCGCATCCATTGCTGTTTCTCCTTCTAGGCACATAATTTGCACGTATGTTTACTTGCTCATTGTGCTTTTAACAGGACCCTGAGCTGGAAAAGTTGCACGCAGATAGGATTGCGGCTCTCAAGGTCTGTTATTTTGTCTTGCCTGCAGGTCAACACAGTTATTTATATCTGGAGGCAAAGTGCCTGATCGTTGAACAATTGTTTTGTCTTGATTCTGTTCTACAGAAAGAAGCTGAGAAGCGACAAGCTCTAAAAACGCAAGGGCATGGAGAATATAGAGAGATTAGTGAAGGAGATTTTTTGGGTGAAGTTACTGGTTGTGAGAAAGTGATTTGTCACTTCTACCATCGGGAGTTCTATCGATGCAAGTAAGGACTTACTTCATGTTTTACTGTCTACTTCCCTTCCCACATAAAAGAAAGAGACATAAGAGGAGGGTTATTTCTGGATAACTGTTTCTGTTATTCTTTGCTGCTATCGGTGTTTGAGATAGAGCGGGAGGGAGGGAGTAATTTCCCAAGTTAGATCAATTCTGGTATATCTCATACTGTAGATTTGTAGTTCGAGTTTCTTTGAAGTCAGTAGTGCAAGAACTTCAGTCTGTAATCTGATGCAACAAGCTTGACACTCATAAAAGTGTTGCCTAAATTTGCATCTTGAAGGTTCCGTTTGTGACAGCTTTAACTTGGTTAATTGGTCATCCAAATTTTTACTGGCCAGATTGTGACAATTCTCTTGCTTCTCTTCCTACTTCAATGCATCGATGCTCAGCATAGAATAATCTAGCTATACATACTTGTGAAAGGGAAACGAGCAGGAATCTAGCTGTGTATATCCACATGCATGCATGCACAAACATAATGGTATTTATTACTCTTTCAGGATCATGGATAAGCATTTGAAGTCTCTCGCACCAAGACATGTTGATACAAAGTTTCTAAAGTTGGATGCTGAGGTCTGTATATCTTGAGTTTTTGTGTTCTTCCTCAGATTAGTACAGTAGGAATAGTCCTGAAATTTTGTGAAGTATCTGCACCCACCTATGCGTGGAAGATACCAAAAAAGAAAGGGAAAAGGCTCAAAATTGCTCCTCTGGTATGCAAAATGGTCTATTCCTTCCCTCCGTTTGAACTTGCGCACAACTGTGACCCTGTCGTCAAAGAAGTGGGTTACCACTACCCTTTTTCACTAAAGGCTCTAAGTTAGACCATCTCTTTCGTCCCAAAAAAAAAAGAAAATAACTTGTGTATTAATTAACCACCCCCTCCTAATATTTTGTACCAGCCCCCTCACTTATTTACCCACCCTCCCCTCCCCCNTTTAACCTACCGTTCCACCTCGTAATGGTTCTTTGACAAAGAAAGAAAATAATGAATGGTGTTTACCAAAAATGTAGATTGAGGTGCCTCTAGATGTTGGCACCATCATTTCCGGTGGCGGCGCATCCGCAGCATAACTTCAACACTGGTGTGACAATAGCCAAATTAAACCCAAGAATAGAACAATGAAGAAGAAACAAAGCAGTAGTTCAATTCAGATTTCACACTCACGACCCATCTAGTCTTCTTCTACCTTCACATTTCCATGAAAATCCCACATTCTGAACACCTCAAATATATCCGCACATCGATCAATTGGAGAAAAACTCTTGTAAAAATCATCTTGTTTGTAAAAAATATTCTAGAAGAACTCCTCTACAAAATTTAAGATTGCTTTTTTCACTCTCCTCACTGAAAATTTTTCCCCACAAAGAATACAAGTGAACTGATTGATTTTTTCACTCCTCTCACTGAAATGTTTTCGCCACAAAGTATACAAGTCAACTTCTTCACCTCCATCCACGCCGCAGGACACCCCCAAAAACCCATCTCAATTGCACCAAAACTCTGCCACCACCTCATTGCCGATTGTTACTGAGAGTGAATGAATTTTTTTTTTTTTTTGTGGCCTTATGATTGGTAACTTGGTTGGAAAAATGCATTAGATTGGTAACTGGGTGATGGTGATGATGATGCTTTGTTNTAGTGGAAAAGGGTAGTGGCAGCTCACTTCTTTGACGGTAGGGTCGTGGTGGAGCTCAAGTTCAAACTTCAACGGAGGGTACGAATTGACCATCCCGAATACCACAGGGGCAAATTTGAGCCTTTTCCCAAAAAGAAATCTCACAAAACAAAGAAAGGAAAGATTGGCCCTATAACTTTATGAGAACTGTTCATTGGATCTGATTTTCATGCTATTTCTCATTTTGTCTCGTATAACTTAATGCAGAATGCTCCTTTTTTCGTTACAAAGCTGGGAATTAAAACTCTACCATGTGTCATCTTTTTCAGGTTAGTGCCTCCTGGTCTATTTAACCTTTAGGGTACTCTGCTTCGCACTGCTCTATTCTTTCTCATATATTTTATCCATGTTTGGGTGGCACTATGGTTGTTTTCAAGGCAAAATTAAGAACTTCAAAATAGCTCTTTCCTTCAAGCAAAGAAGAATGAACCTAAATTCTCCTAATTTATTGGTCTCAAAATCTAGATCAAATCTATCAAAACAGGCCCAATGCACCAAGGGAAGTAAAATATCAGTCTGTCAGTGAATTAACTGTTTAGGGCAGGTCGGCCAGCAGTTAACATTTGTGTAGCGGGCATAACAGTCTTAATTGTTTCAGGTCTTGGATTTGGTTAGGCAGGGGAGCTACCCTATTTTACTGTAAATTAGACGAGGGAGCTATCATGATCTTCACAAACATAGTTTAAAGTCACTTGTAGCTTCATCAAAACAGTGGATAAAGGGAAGGGGTACACTCTAGCAATCTTATTTATGGTTCCAGTCCTAAACTTCCTGAAATTCATACACATACATGTGAACGTAAGCATCAACACATCCTAGGTGTGTGGTTAATCGTACTCTTTCTTTTTCAGATGATGTCATTTCCTTTTGTTCTACACCTAAAAGAATTTTGCTTTTCAGGAATGGAATAGCTTCAGATAGGCTGGTTGGTTTTCAAGATTTGGGCGGAAAAGATGATTTCAGCACGAGGACTCTGGAGGGTCTTCTGTTAAAGAAAGGTAATGCTTTTTAATTGATGATTCCTATCGATCGATAGCTTATTGCAGTTACTAAACCATCTTCGGTGCAGGAATCATCAAAGAGAACAAGGAAAAAGAAGATGATGAAGACTCATATGGTGAAAGAAATAGGGCAGTGAGATCGTCAATCAATCCCGATTCTGATTCAGACTGATGAGTTATTAGTGGTCACCAGTTTTGAATCAAATGACTATTCGTCAGCGTTTTCTGTTGCTGGGTTTTTTTTAATCCTCAGGATACCTCGGAGTATCTACTACAAAGTCTTTGCTTTTCTTGAGATGAAATGTACGAAAGATTGAATGAGTGGTGCCATAGTCAGTTGTGGTTTAACATTTCTATCTGTTGCTTCTTAATCCAGTTGTTTCAAAAAGATTAAGTGTATTTCAAAGAGGTATGGTGGATTCATTCCATTTTTCACAAGAGGCTCCGGAAAATATGTACATCAGAAATATTTTGAAAAATTAGTAAAGTCCACGTGAAATTCTTGAATGCATTCGTATCCAATTATTCACCGTATAACAGAAACTTCCAAATCGTAAAACGATTATGTAAGCGCATTATCCCTCTTTGAAGCTTTCATGTCATACCCTAATCTTTTCAAAAGCGCTACGTAATCTGCTTTAATTTTTTTGGAATTAAATATTTGCTTAATTCCATTCATATTGAGCATTAATATAGTGGATGTTCAGTATTATCACCAAACTCTGCTCTCCTTTGTATTTTCCTTTTCTCCACTTGTTTCATATCTTTATATTCCTGCCAAACTTCTGTTCTTATAAAAGTTGTATTGTCTCTGTTGATGCATAGATATGGTGCTTTGATTCTTGATGTTCGAGATTATGTCTCCAGTAATCAGTGAAGTTCTTCTGTCTGGTTTTACCATGAACTCAACTCTGCATCGTCGTACTCACTTAGTTCAATCCTTCTCAGTCGTCTTCCTCTACTGGTTCTACGTGTTTTCATGAAACAGGAAACCTCAGTTTTCTTCTTCTTACTCATTAAACTTCATTCAAGATCCCAACCCTTGGACTACATTTCAGTTGTTATTTACCTTTTGTAGTAGGGTACTTTTATTTTCCACGAACAATTACTTATAGTTGTCTTTTGTAAAAAGATATAATGGTGTAAAAATCCTTTTTATACAAGGTAAACTCTAATTTTGGTACTACAATGATATTGTAATTGCAAGACCATTGGTAAGGAGTTATGGCTTGTTGTTGAAGTGGAACAATGGTTCCAAAGATGATCATCCCCAACAAATAATAAATCAAAGGAAATGCAAGAAGATCAAGGATGAGGAAACAGAAATATTTGGATGACCTAATGACTGAAATGAGTCAAATCAAGGAGGAAAACAACCAAATTGAGATTAACATAAATATGTTCACTCAGCTTTACTTGAAGGTGGAAGCAGAGAACTCCATTCTCAAAGCTCAGATCGCCGAGTTAAGCCACAGGCTGCAGTTTCTAAAGGATATCATTAACTGCAGGAATGCAGCAACAACAACTAATGATGAACAGACCATTTGGTCGTTATTGGGTGTTCAAAATTACTCAGAATTTATTCATTTGTTTTGCTAAATAATTCACAACCTTTTTTTTCCCTACTTGGTTCCTTCACTAAGTGGCCTTTGACAAATAGTAGAAAATGTAATTGGCCGTGGAGTTTCTTTCATTCATTCAGTTAATAAAAGGTATCGAAGGCTGTAGGGCGTGCATAAATTGAAACATCAGGCTTGAATTATTGGCAAAAAATGTTTTTAAAAAAAAATATATATGATGATATATATTTTCCTATAGCTATAGAAACACTAGATAATTATTTCAAACGTCACCCGTGACCAGTCATTCATGTTATTATGAACCTCCACTGCTTTGTGCTTCCAGCTTACTAGTATATAATAGTGACAAGAAATTAGCAACTAAAAGAAGGAGCAATTTTTAATGTTGTGGCACTCGTTTTCCTTATTAGGGAGAGTGTATGCTTAAGAAATTTATTGGAGTAGATGATATCACTTGGAACGAGTATTTTTATTATATGGGGCGGATTTAGGGGCGGAATTCGTTGGAAAATTATATTATATATAAGGTAAAATCTGTTTTTTATCTTTATATATATTGTATTTTGAATACTCTTGATACAACTCAAAAACATAGTTTAGTAGTCAAAGGGATTCAAAACTTTTGTGAGATTACAGTCTCTATAATTTTTTAACTTTTTTCTTTTTTGAACCCTGTAGCTGAAATCCTGCTTCGCCCATCATATTGTCCTCCACTGGAACAGTGCCACAGTGGTATGCAGAATTTTAATTGTCCCTTTCCGATCCATTTGTCATAGTTTAATTTATCAATTTATTACTTGAGATTAATTAACCGGTCCAGATTCAACTCTTTATAATACTAGTCAATCAAGTATTCAACTTAATATTAACTAAAGGAGATTACTTCTCACCCATGAAGGGCCGTGAGGCTAAATCAGATATGAAAAATGAATATATATATTGTAAAACTTTGCTAAGTATATATATGGTCATATAAATATAACATTTTTTTCACCAAAGTAATATAACTATACTTTCTTACACAAAAATCACAAAACTTTCACTAACTTACACAAAAATCATAATGACCGAAAAATATAACTTTCCGGAAGTTTTTTCTTATTCTACATTTTTCCTTATTTTTTATTTTCAGTTTAATATATAAATAATAATCAATTAAAATAGAAATGATCCGGCCCAGCCCGACCCAAACCAAACCAATACGTATATACATAAGTGTCCCCCAAAAATACATGATACTTGTATTTTTTTGTTTTCCTTTTCAAGATTTTCATTCAAATTAATAGCATTATTGTTTCGGAGCTCTCGATTATCCAAATATTTTTTTTTGTCAGAATCTCATGCAAAATACTCCAAAGAAAGAAATATAATATTGTATGCAAAATACTCCAAATTATTTATGTCAAGTAATTGTATCTATCTATCTATCTATATCTATATATATATATTCCAAGTAATTTTTTCTTTCGTTGGAGTATTTTGCATGCGGTTCTGATAATAAAGAAAAAGAAATAAAAGGTATGAATAATTTGAGAGCTCTTGATATAATGAAAATCTTAGGCATAAAAAAATAGAAGTATAGTGTATTTTGAGGAAAGGATTCAGTTTTACTATTATTTTAATTATATGAGTATTTAGTTGAGTCAATCCTATTTTACTTTGGTTATTATTTATTAGACTGAAAATAAAAAAAATATGGAATAAGAAAATACTAAGGAAAGTTATATTTTTCGGTCATTGATTTTTGTGTGAGTTAGCAGAAGTTTTATAATTTTTATATGAAAACACATAGTTATATGACTTAGGTGAAAAAAAGAAAATCATAATTATATGATCATTTATGAAACATACCGCTAAAGTTATGCAACATTCCGTCGATCTCTATGTTCCATAAGTGAATATAAGCAATTATTAGTACTATTGTGTAGCTAATGTAGTAACTGAGATAGTTTTATTCCAAATACCCGATTAAGATGTTTTGCACAAATCGAATAACTCAGGTATGGATTTTCTTCTGCCTTTTACAAGAGGTCAAAGGTCAAAACAATATATATGCTTTATGGAAGGGTGAATTTAATTGCAAATATACTTGAAAAGTTAGCTCAAAGACTATATCCACAAGCCATATTCGCTAATCCTCCATGGCTTTATCCACTTCCAGATTATTGATTGGTCGAATTTATGTTATCTCCTCTTCCTTGCCTAGCCTACTAATTAAGTTATGTACCTTTTGTCAAAATGAAAGGAATTTCTTATATACCTGTTATTTTTGCACCTAAACAACCTTTCCTTTGCCATATTTGTCCAATGGCAAGACAAACCAGATTGCCTTTCCTAGAAAGAACAACATTAACCACTAAGATCTTTGGGCTATTACACATTGACCTATGGGGTCCCTATCATGTTACAACACATGACAAATATAAATACTTCATCACACTTGTGGATGATTACAGCAGGTCCACATGGACTCATTTGCTAAGCTGTAAAAGCAATGCCCTGCATACTATCAAGGCCTTTTCTGCCATGATAGAGAATCAATTCAACACTAGTATCAAAACTATAAGAACTGACAATGGCCTCATGTGAGGGAAACACCACTTCCAAGGGAGCAATACGACTCCCCTCGCTAGCCTCAGAAGGTACGCTAGACATGATTCAATATAAAGAAGGAGAATAACGAACAAGAGGGAAGAAATAGCGATGTAAATCGCTGAAACAGAGAGTAAAAAAGATTTTGCAGAGAAGATGAAGGGGAAGCTATTGCTTAAAGAGAAGGAAAGGTTTGGAAAAAGTTTCAAAATCAACAAACCTTCCCCTATTTATAAGGTTTGGGAGACACTGGAATCGAAACGGTGGGTCATGCTTAGCACGAAAATCGAAATGACAAAGCCAATCAAGGGTCACACCTAAATCGATGCAATGCGTCAGGAAACGACGTCAATATGACGCATGATGTCATGATGTCACTTCTTCTCTTGGACCAGATGGCTTCAACAGACTTCCCGAGTAACTCAAAAAATTCAAAATATGCGGACCTTAGAAGGCCACGTAGTCCCGACTCCACGACCACCACCTCAACCAACTCTATAGAGTTGTAACACGAACGACATTGTCCGCGAGAAAGACCTCGATAAGCGGAGGGACTAACTGTATGGGTCAAAATCCATCTTTAGTCGAAATGGTATTGGTAAAACATTCTTGGGATGCCACGCGTCAAAGTAGTCTAATCATCAGCGGAGGCCATGGTCGAAGAGTCAGCAAGACTGAAGTCGAGGAGTTGTCATCAAAACCGAGGTCGAGCACCTTTGACAAAGCTATAACGGCTAGTTTTGAGATAGGACACAAAAGTGAATATTCTAGTGAATATTCTCTGCACTTGTATTGTTAGGGTTTTTTAGGAATATATTCCCTATAAATAGAAAGAGACACAATGATATGGGACATGTGATATTCATTTGTAAAAACATACTTTGACTTGAGAGAGGGTCGGATTTCATTGCAAGCATACAAACATCACCTTTTCACTAAGATTCTTGTCTACACGTTTTCACTAGAACCGAGAATAACTCAGATATTCAAAGGATTGTCAATAACTAAGATTCTTGGATGACTCATTCATTCTATTTACTTAAATGTCATTTATTGCTATTCATCACTATTTAATGCTATATTATTATCTGTGATTTCTTGAATATTTACTATATGCTATCGTTATTATCAAGATATACCTACGTAGTATTTATTGCACTTTCAAGAACTCTATCTTGGTAGCTAAAATTAACCCTCATTTATATAAATTTAATATTTTTTGGTCAAACACATAAAAGTTGCCGCCGATCTATATTTTTTACCCATGAATTTGCCTACCTATGAAGTCAACTCGAGTACCTTGCCAAAAGCCTTTAATAAAGCAGTAAAAAGGTAGATGAAGCTTTCCCAAAACCTTTCTCATGGAACCATACAGAAAATTAAACTGCTTCTTAAGCAGTCGTACTGAATTTAATAACCGCTAATCAAGGCGTAAAAAATAATAGTATCGGAATTTATCTAAATCAAGATACTGCACATGGGTCCATCGTCGGGACATCAATTTTGGTAAGCATGCCAAACCGCTCCAGAAAAAATAATCTTACAAAAATCTCTAATGTCTTATTTACCGATTTCATTTGTTAGTTTTGTGATCCTTATGAAAATTTGTATCGAGTCATAACAGAAAGGAGTCAATCAATTAACTACATTTAAAATGTCATTAATTGAATTTTTATTTTTTTTTTAATAGAATTTTCGTCCGGACTGTTAGGGGTAAATCGGGGAATTAGATAACAGAAAGGAGGGTAAAATTGTCATTAAATTTCGAGTACCTAATTCAATTCGTAAAGTACCTCTTGCTTTGTGCACAGCAGCAGCTTAGGGCTTATAACAGTCAAATTCCGCTCGGAAACAGCAAAAGGGAATATACGCCATAGCCAAGAGGCCAGACATTGAAGGAACCATGTTTGCGACAGCGATAAGGTACATTGGGAGGAAACCAAAGCCCAAAATGAAATCCATTGAGCTTAAAACTCCACCTGAGCAGACACAAACTATTACCAGGGTTATTTTCGACATTTTGAAAGAACATGGCCCTCTCACCATTGCTGACACCTGGGAACGTGTCAAGGTAATTCATAAAATGAGCTTTTACAAATTCTCTAAATTTGAATTAACTATTGTATGGAAACTTGATTGCCTTTTACAATTTTGATTCATTTTCTGAAGTTTTACATCTGTTCTTGTGAATCATTACTTAGCTTTGAATGAGATGGGACGAGTTAGAGCAGCGTCAATTTGATTCATATAGCAGAGCTCAATTATCTTTGGATTTAGAAATGTAGTTAATTGATTGATTGACTGCCTAAGTGGTAATGTTAGATAATCTTAGTTTCAGGAAGTGGTAGTGAAAAAGAACTGAACTTTGGGACATAGTTGAATGAACTAAAAGGAAAAGTTGTCCTTTTCTTTTTTTCGTTTCTTCAGGGCTTAGAGTAGGCCTTCAAACTCAAATTGCAGAAGAAAAAAATTATTAGGATTGCCTTACTTTTAATGGATCTGTCTGGATGTTCAGGTGGCGTTTGGGTGAGCTTTTGGGAGTTCCTGAAAGTACAGTTTTTGCAAAAACTTCATTAACTCGCCCAAACGCCATATTAACTGCTCTAACCTAAAAGATAACACACGTATGTTACATTTCTCCTTCAATTATTAGAATCATAGAGAGAAGCAGTGGATGCTCCACTTTATATTTATGCATCACTCTAATAAGATTTTATACTTTTCTATATAGACACAGTTGGTGTACGACGTACACCAACTGTGTATATGCTAGATTTCCTCTGGTTAGAATGAAATTAAATAGACAATTTACGATCTGTATAATAGTTCAGTTACTATCCTGCGAATGCTTCTTTTTGAAGGCTTGACACTAGGCTTTTTGGTAAATGACCGCTAAGTTTACGGAATATTCCTAGCGTCTAATTTACCATATCAAGGACAATTAGTTGCTTTACTAACAATTAACAACTGTTCTATTGCCTTTCTAGTTGTGGTGGAATGTTGATGGTTAAGTCTTTGTTTTCCCACCGCTGTACTTCTTAGCACAGAGTATAAAATTATGTAAAATTGTTACCATTTTTTCTGATTCTCATGAACCTACTGTTCTTAACTTTGAGAACTCTAGGCTGCTCTTTCCTAACTGTTTTTCCCCTGCAAAACTCCAGGATGTTGGGTTGAGAGGCTTGACAAGCAAAAGGCACATGAAGATAGTATTAAGATGGATGAGGGAAAGACAGAAGCTTAAGCTTATATGCAATCATGTTGGGCCCCAGAAACAATTTCTGTATACTACCTGGTTCACAAAACCAAATACAATGCAGACAAAGCCAGGAACCCATACTTCCTGGCCAAATACGAAGCAGATAATGCCTGGAAGTGATATTTCCCGGCCAAAGTCATCATAAACCTTATAGCGTGGTGTCTGATTATTGAACCAAAGATTTTTTGGAGCTTTCACCATGCTCTGAAGCTTTACAGGGCAACTACGATGGCTTTCACAACCTTTTAACTCTGGATATCAAGGCCTTAGCTTTTGGGTAGAGACTTTCTTTCTTCTTCTTTTTTATGTATATATTATGTTACAGGGTTAATGGCATTATCAGTAATAATCTCTACAGTCTACAAAACAAATGATGATTCGAGGAAAGCTCAAACAAAACAACATTGATATTGAAATAAGATCTCAAAACTCTGACGTGATTGACAAATTTGAGGCTTTTGGTAATTCAGTGCTTTAGTTGTGTTGATAACATAATTATGATGGATAATTATCAGTTCAGATATGAAGGAAAACAAAAGCAATCTTTGCAAACACTAGTTTCCCAGTTTCTTAGAAGATCAGTCGTTTGATGATTTGAAACATTGCCAATTCTTCTGTCAATTGATATCTTCTGACCCTGTCATATATTTTCTGTTCATTTTAATCGTCTGCAGTTTGCCGTTGTTTGAACAGCTTTTAGCAAAGAGCGATTCATGGTTCATTAGGCTCCATTCTGTCTAGATATTGTTACAAAGCCTTTTACCTGATTCTTGCAAGTTGTAACATCGAACCAAGGTCCCTCAATACTTTAACGAGGCTCAAAAGATTTTACGAATGCAACTGTGAGCATATTCAGGTACTCTGTTTGGATAGCTGATGGACTACTTGATAATGGAATCTTGATACAAGTCCTAAGTTCTTTCGTGTTTCTGGCTTAAACTATTGTTAAGTAGAGCGCCGGAGTATGGAAGTTGCCACCATGTTAAAACTAGTGTGGAGAATCTGTGCTTAGTTTTGGTTGAGTATTCCAAATGAGAGGATGAAAGTGCTTAGTTTGGTTTGAAAAATCTGTGCAAATATTGTGATTACATTTTCTTGGTTTACTTACATAAGATAGATTAGTTAGTGTGTACAGATTTGACCTTTATATACTACTTATCTGTGACAATGGATTGAACTTAGTATAGATATATATTTCAAAAGACTTTCATCTATACTTTATATTTCTAGAGCTAAAAATAAATGCAGTAAGTATAGCTGCCAACTTCAATATACATCCTGTCTGTACTGGTAAACGAATTTTGAAGGTTTCCAAAATTTGTGCTAGTAAACTGTTTTCCAGTCTGAACTCTGAACCATCTGCATGCTTCTTGTATGAACATTCTTGTAGGGATTTTTTCATTCCTATACACTATTTGAAACCTTATTACGAAAAATGTCCATGTTTTGGTATTTACCCGACCTAAACACATTTTAGTTACAAAATATATACAATCCACCTTAAAAGGCTCCCAATCCATTATTTGTGCCTTCAATCAAGGGATTTAGTTACACCATTTTCCTTTTTTCTCTCCTCTCTCCCCTATTCTCTGCAGATTGAACTTATATTTAGGGATTTAGTTACAAACTTGATAAATTGCCCATCTGCCCTTCTCGAGAAGACACTTTTACGACTGCTATTTGGAGAAGATAAATTATACAACTAATTAACACATCTAAATGTTTTTCTTCAAAAAATGTTTACCTTTTCTGTTTACTTTCTTCTTTTTTCAGCTCAGCTCTAAGGATAGTTACTTGATTTATGATCCAATTACCAGGATACAATCTATGTGGAGAACATTTAAGAAAGGGAGGAGGCTGGAACACCACCAATCATCCAGAAAGTGAGAACTACTCTAGCATTTTGGGTGAAAGAGTTCATAAGTCACAAAGTAATTGAAAGAATGGAGCACAACTACATTGAACTTGCACTATAACTTATCTACAACTTTCATACATTATTTCTATCAAGTTAAATACAACTACAATATCATACAATTTAAATATATTTTTTATACAAATTTTATACAATATATCTTTTGTATGTTTTGTATCTGATTTATACATAGTAAAAACAAATTTTATAAAACTAATTATATATTATACAACTTATCTATAATTTTTTTATAACTTTCATACATTATTTCTACCCAGTTATATACAACTACAATATCATACCACTTAACTACAATTTTTATACAAATGTTATACAATATGTCTTTTGTATATTTTGTATCTGATTTATACATAGTAAAAACAAATTTCATACAACTAATTATATATTATACAACTTATCTACAACTTTCATATATTATTTCTACCCAGTTATATACAACTACAATATTATACAACTTAAATACAATTTTTATACAATATTGTTCAACTTTCATACAATATTTAAATAAAAAAATATATATAAACAATAGAATACAATTTTTCTATAATTTTACTACAATTTCGTAAGTATAATGTATGTCATGTCTTCTTCTTCTTCTTCTTCTTTTTCTTCTTCGACGAGTTTCAATCTGAAATTCAGCCAAAATCAAGTCTAATCTTCACCAAAACATCCTCAAAATTGAGATATATACTCCAAATAATATCCCTAATTGTTTGCAACAACACCCAATCCAAATAAATAATTTTTGAAAATCTAAATTCGAATTCAAACCTTCAACGCTTTTTACTGGCTGTCAATGATAGAATTGCTGCTCTCTTTTCCTTTGTTCTACATTACTGGAATTAGGGATTGAGAGATGTAGAGAGAGAGAGAGAGAGAGAGAGAGCAGGAGGGAGAGAGAATAAAGATCAGAAATAATTGATTCCTAATATAAAAGGATACTCATTTAATTCCTAAAGAGTATATAATTGGTAAATTTGTATATAAGATGTAATTAAATTGAAACTTGAGTAGGGAGGGTAATAAAGTTTCAAATAGTGTATAGGAATGTAAAAATTCCTTCTTGTAAACCGTCTCAAGAATGAAAGATAAAAATACAGGAGAAAAAGGTTTATGAGAGCTGCTCTAATTTGAGTGGGTCCTATTGCTCTCCTCTGAAGTTTGACAATTTAAAAAGTGGACAAAAGAACTGTTCAGCATACAGGTTTATATGGTCGTAAATAAAAATCTTCTTAATGGATGCAGGAAATAAACTCAAAAATAAACAATTTTAGTCATCGTGAACTCGTACAAGGATATTGTTATTGCTCAAAGGAGCAATAATAAGTAGGAATGACACATTTGAACCAGTGGCATTTTGTACCGAAAACAAACACGTTAGCAAGCTGCACCACATTCTTTTAATATGCACACTGTAATTGTAGAGAATTCGTAGTAAACAATTGACGTATCACATTTGACACTTTCACATGCCTTCTTGTAAATGTTGCAGCCAATTTGAGAAGCAGTTTCTTGAGTTTAGTTTATGCTAGGGTTTGAGGAATAAACGAGATAGAGAAAAAGAGAGAAGCAAATACTTTCATTACTCTGCCAGAAAGAAAAAATGTTTCTTCTTTTATCTAGAAGAATCCAATATAGTGGCTATATACAAAAGAATGAACTAAGTAGTAAAGAACCAGACTAAACTGACTATTACAAAAATGGGTCTCGCTATTACAAGTGGGCTGATACAAATAAATACATCAAATGGGCCTATTATGTAGGATGTGCCTCGGTATCAGCAACAGATTGGGCTAACTTTTGCTCAACTCCAACACCCCCTTCAAGGTGAAGGGTGACTGAACCCCCAGCTTAAGCAATAAGGAATGATGAGCAAGGCCTGTCAAAGGCTTGGTAAAAACATCAGCCAACTGAGAAGTAGTAGGAACATGATTCAAGGCAATCAACCCCTCATGAAGCTTTGCCCGAATAAAATAGAAATCTACCTCAATATGTTTGGTCCTCGCATGAAATACAAGGTTCTTGACAATGTGAATGACTGTTTGATTATCACATAAGATAGGGATAGCAACAGAAACAGGAATACCAAAGTCAGAAAGCAATCCGACCAGCTAAGTTAGCTCAGCTAAAACCTTACTAATTGCTCTATACTCAATCTCAGCAGAAGAAAAAGACACAATAATCTATTTCTGAGCCTTCCAACCAGTAAGTGAGCGCCCCCTAATAGAATGCAGAACCTAGTAACTAATCTCCTTGTGTCTGGGCAAGCAACCCAGTCACTATCACAATAAGCAGAAAGTGAAAGATCAAGGAAGTTGCTGATGAACACCCCAACCTTAGAGGACCCTTGATGATACCTAAGTATATGCAAGGCTGCATGCATGTGAGAGAAGGTAGGCTTTTGAAGGTATTGGCTTAGGTGTTGTACAGCAAAAGCCAGGTCTAGTCTGGTGTGGGTGAGAAAGTTGAGCTTACCCACCAAACTCCTATAGGATTCAGGAGAAGGAAGATGATCCCCCATGTCTGTTCTGAGCTTGACAGTCAGGTCAAAAAGACAAGTAACATGAGTAACATTCTCACAATGGTACTCTTTGAGAAGGTCTTTAATAAATTTTCTTTGATGTAGTAACAGTCCACCAAAAATGTATGCAACTTCAATCCCAAGAAAATAGTTGAGAACTCCTAAGTCTTTGATTTTAAATTCATTATCGAGAAAGCTCTTTAATGCAGTAATTTCAGCTAAGTCATTAATAGTGAGAATAATATCATCAATATACACAGCCAACAAGACAGTGGAAGAATCAGATTTTCTGGAGAAGAGAGAGTAGTCATTGAGAGAAGGAGAGTATCCCCTAGAGCATAAGGCTTGAGACAGCTTGACATACCACCACCTTGAAGCCTGTCTCAAACCATATAAAGACTTTTGAAGATGGCAAACCAAAGGAGAAGAAGATAAAGTAGAACCAGATGAAAAAGTGGCTGACAACCCAGGTGGCAACCTCATATAGACCTCCTCATCCAGGTCATCATGAAAAAAAAGCATTGTTGACATCAAGTTGAAAGAGAGACCAACTTTTCTTGACAGCCACAACAACAAGGCACTTAACAGTGGAAAATTTAATAACAGGGGAGAAAGTTTCATTGAATTCCACACCCTCCACCTGGGTGTCACCCCTAACAACCAATCTAGCCTTATATCTTTCCACAGTTCCATCAGCCTTATACTTGACCTTATAAACCCATTTGCAGCCAATGAGTTTCTTGCTAGGTGGCAGATGAACAATTGACCAAGTATGATTGGCCTCTAAGGTCTCAAATTCCTTCCTCATGGCCTCCTGCCATACATGAATGGAAACTGCCTGCTGATATGAGGCATGTTCAATCTCAGCAGTGTTAACTAAACTATGAAGACAAGCAAAAGAAAAACTGGGGCCAGACAGGGATGGATGAAGGTTACAAATATATTATTGCAGATGAGCAGAAGAAACATGAGTCCTATTCGGCCTCCTGGGAGCAGGTGGAGTGTGTGCAGAAGAGGGATATTGTTGAGAAGGAGGAGATGGTGAAAGAGGAGTAGAAGGTGAAGGCAGATGAGCTGGAGGAGGATAAGGAAAATCAGAGAAGGAATTGTCAATTGGGAAACTCCAACTAGTAGCAGGATTGAGAGGAGGAGGAGGAGGAGAAACATTGGGGTGATTGAAATAGGTAGCAAAGGGAAAAACAGTTTCATGGAAAACTACATCCCTGGATATTAAGGTAAGCTTATTTTTCAAATTGTATAGCTTTTAACCCTTATTAGCCAATGGATATCCCAAAAAATACAAGGGTCAGCTCTAGGCTGAAACTTGTCCTTATGACATTTGGGAACTGTGATAAAACAGAGACAACCAAAGGTTTTAATATGATTATAAGAAGGAGGTTGCCTAAACAGTAGTTCAAAAGGTGTTTTGTTATCAAGAAGCTTAGAAGGGAATTTGTTTATAAGGTATGTAGCAGTAAGCACACAATCTCCCCAGAATCTAATAGGTAAGTGAGAATGAAAAAGTAGGGCTCTTGAGGTTTCTAAAAGATATCTATACTTTCTTTCAACCGCACCATTTTGTTATGGTGTATGAGGGTAAGAAGTTTGGTGAACTATTTCATTTTCAACAAAGAAATCACTGCCATAATTACTAGACCCAAGATCAAAAGCATTATCACTTCTATCAATTTGTACAATAGACTTGAATTGTGTTTTGACAAGCTCTGATAAGAGGGAAAACATTGCTCTTAGACCCCATAAGGTGAGTCCAAGTAGTTCTAGTAAAGTTATCAACTATGGTTAGGTAGTATTTATACCCATTATAGGTAGGGCTTCCATAAGGACCCCAAGTATCCACATGGATAAGTTGAAAAGTATGTGTAGTTTTGATAGAACTATTAGGAAAAGGTAGCCTAGGCTGCCTTGCTAATGGACAAACAGTACAGGTGAATGGCTGTTTAGTAGAGAATTTACAAGGTATATGAGGAAATTCTCTCATTCTAACAAAAGTTATATGTCCCAGTCTATTATGCCATAACATCTCCATTTTATTCAATTCAGAATGATATATACAATAAGAAGAAGAAATAGAATCAGCAACTAATGGAGAATGATATTTATAGGGAACATTTTCAGAAAGTAAAAGAGCACTCATAGAAATAGATTGACATGCAGTTGTATGAGATTGAAAGGAAGGGGAAGACTGCACAAGTCTGTAAAGTCCATCGTCTAATTTACCAATTTTTAGTGGCCTCTTTAGTGAAGGGGCCTGTATCAAACATGAAAATTTAGTAAATAGGACAATATAATCCAACTGGCAAACAAGTTTGGATATAGAGATAAGGTTGTAATGAAATCTAGGAATGTAGAGGACATGATGCAATGTGAAAGAAAGAAATTGAATGGAACTAGTACAAGTTACCTTGACCTTATAACCATTTGACAATGTGACTAAGTATGGTATGATTAAGGGTTTAATGTCAAAGAGAAGATCTTTATTGGAGGTCATGTGGTTAGTGGCCCCAGAGTCTATAATACAAATACATTCATTTATTTTAGTTAACATGCAAGCATCATAAGATACATTTCTTACCCAACTGGGTGAAGAGAGAATACCAGCTAAGTTAGCAGATGCTATGAGGCTGGATTGGGGTTGTGATTCTGAGATTTGTGTCTACTGAAACAACATCATAAGTTGTGAATTTGGTTAACTCGGGGATCAAAGACTCTGAATCAGAAGACCCTTCAACTGGAGAGTGAGAAACCTTAGCAGAATTTTGATGACCGACAGAATTTTGATGACCCTGCACCTCAACATTTGCAACAGTCCTTTTACCCTTGGTAAACGTGAAGCCTGGTGGAAATCCATGGAGCTTATAACATTTGTCAACCAAATGCACAAGCTTCTTACAGTACCTACACACTAGATTTAACTTGTTGTATTCAAAATTGACTCTTTGAATGAACTGTTTGGGAGAGGTAGGTGTCCTTGGGAATTTGTTAGTAAGATGGGTATTGAAAGAAGCAGAATCAGTACAAAAATGAGATGGTGAGGACACTTATTTTGGTCTTTTATCCTGAAGCAAGATGTCGTAGGCAGTGTCTAGAGATGGAGGAGGCTGCATCATGAGCAGATTACTCCAAACTCTAACATAAGTCTCATTAAGCCCCATGAAAATCTGATCCAGCTTGTTCTCATCATCCTCTCTTTGAAGCTCAGATTTAGCAGCACGTGTGGATTTTTTAGCCAAAATTCTCCCTTATCTTTGGGGGTAAGTCTAACTTTGTCCTTTATCTATTGCCTTGAGCACTTATTATCCTTTAAGTTTGCTAAGCTTGAGCAGCTTTAGTCCATTTAACAAAAGACCCAAAGGGAGACCTAAAAACTAATAGTGATTTCACTAAGTCAACTGGGTAAAGAAACTTTCAGTACTCAAATTTTGCAGAACCGATGTAGTGAACCTAAACCTGTTTAACGGGATGGGTTGACCCGGTTCCAGACCGACCTAGACCGGTAGTAAACCGAATCGCCGACCGGTGGAAGGGGGCCGGGTAGGGCTGGGTTAGGGGGTTGATTCGTATATATTTTTTTACCAGTTAATCGGACCGGTCAAACTCGTTCAATGAAATTGTTGTTGAACCGGTTAACTGGACCGGCCCGGTTAAGAAAAATAGTGACCGACCGGTTATCGAGTTTTTAAAACCGGGCTTAATGGGTCAGGGCCCATCCGGTGGAACGATTTCGGGCCTAAGGGGTCGACCCGGCCCGACTCACCACTTTGTCACATTTAAGATTGTAGAAACTAGTGTGATAATATTTAAAAAAAAAAATTAAAAAAATAGTCGTTGAATCGGGCCGGGCCGGTTAACCGGTTCAACAGTAATTTTCATTGATCAGGTTTGACCGGTCCGATTAATAGGTAAACAAATATATACGGACCAACCCCCAAACCCAGCCCTACCTGTGCCCCTTCCATTGGTCCGAGCCGGTCCAGAACCGAGTCAACCTTAAACAAGTTTAGGTTCACTACATCGGTTTTGCAAATTTTGAGTACTGAAAGTTTCTTTACCCAGTTGACTCAGCGAAATCATTGTTAGTTTTTAGGTCTCCCTTTGGATCTTTTGTTAAATGGATTAAACCTGCTCAAGTTTAGTAAACTTAAAGGACAATAAGTGCTCATGGCAATAGATAAAGGACAAAGTTAGACTTACCCCCAAAGATAAGGGACAATTTTGGCTAAAAACTCGCACATGTGCAAGAGCTACCACGAGAGGCACACATGAAAACCAATTCATCCCACAATTTCTTGAGTTTGTTGAAGCAAGATGCTAACTCTTGTTTTATCTCTTGTTTTTGTTAAGCTGAGTCCAAATGCTTTGGGCAGGTCAGAGTACTGGACACTTTCAGCTATGTCTGGTGTAAGGGAGTTGGTTAACCAAGAGATGACCATATTGTTACACCTATCCCATTGCCTAAATTGAGGGGAATTTTCAGGAGGCTTAACAATTATTTCATAAATGAAGCCTATCTTATTCCTAGCAGAGAGGGAAACAATCATATTCTGTCTCCACTCCCCAAATCCAGTTCCAGAAAAATGAGTACTGACAAGAGAAACCCCCGGAACATCAGAAGACAGAAGAAAGAATGGTTTTGAAGGGTCCAGGATGAAACTAACAGAAGAATTAGCAGATGTAGACTCGTCAACGACATTCACCATTTTTGAGTTCAAATAATTAGTCAAAAAATCTTATAGGAATCAACCACAACACATACAATTGTATAACTCCACCACAATTAACGATATAAGAAACACGTGAAAACTCATGACTACTCACCCGACCAACAAGCTACACCAAACGCCACCTAAACATATATATCGCAATCCGGATCCAACAAGCAAAACTCAGTCATGACCCAAAATTCAACTAGTTGTGATGATACCAAACCTAACCCGCTAGGTAAGCCAATTAACAACTATCCAATTTCAATGAAATTTTATAAGACCATTAAGTGAAAGAAAATATTTGAATCTTATACGTTCCCCAAGGACTGGTAGTACAAATCATGAGCGTCTAAAATTTAGAATTTACAAAGTTGGTATGAACTAAAGTACATCATCTGTTTGAAATATACATGACCAGATCTTTCATAAGTCTAGAGCTACCATGAACACGAGGCAACTATAACCGGAATGCAGGTACATCTTCAAATTAGCTCCCGTCAAACACAGCAACATCAACATCTAACATCTGCACGCAAGGTGCAAAAGTGTAGTATGAGTACAACCGATCCCATGTACTCAATAAGTAACAAACCTAATCTTAAGTTGAAAGTAGTGACGAGCTGGAATAGAGGTCGGAGTCCAACACCAATATCCAACTACAGTTCATAACAACATAATAATAATGGTACTATAAACATACTCAGATATAAGATGCTCATCTCGTTCATAATTTCGAAAAAATAGGCATGCTTTTCAAAT